AAGCATCCTGCTGAGTCAGGCTTGGAGCAGACAGCTGCAGAGTCATGGTCCTTTCCTTCCGCTGTGAATGCAGCAGCTCTGCTCTGGACATCTGGCCAGGCGTCCAGGGAAGCCACTGAATTAACTGAGGTGCTATCTGAAGGCAGAGTCTGAGGGCAGAATGTAGATGGTATCAGTTGGGGGTGGGATGCCTTGTTCATGAGAAGCAGAGCCCAGCCCAGGAGCCTCAGGCTCTCCCCATCCTCTCAGCTGGTCAGTTGTAGGATTTCAGAGCTGGAAGGGGCAGCAGAGATTCATATTACAAATGGGGAATCTGAGGTCCAGAGAGGCCTCAGGTCGACCAAGGCCGGAGTTCTGTCCAGCAGGCCCTGGTCTGCCAGCCATCCCTCTGCCATATTGCTTTGTTTCTAAGCAGGCGGCTTAGCCGGTTGGAGCGTGGCCAGTACTGGGGTTGGGGTGGTTTTAGAGTTTCTGGCTGCTATTTTTCACCTGCCTGGTTTTATCTGCCTCCTTTAACCAGGTGAGGCATCAGACCCAGCCCTGCCCTCAAGGAGCTTCCAGTCTAGGAGGGATGGAGAGGAGGAAATAGGAGATAGAGTATAAGTGTTTCCCAAGAGGGCAAAGAAGGAGAGGCCTGTGTGGGGAAACCCAGGGGGAGGGAGGGGCTGGAACCGCCGGATGGAGAAGGGGTAGCTGGGGACCTGGTACCCATCCCTCTGCCCATCTGGGGGTCTTAAGTGGTGCTAATCCCTATGTCAATGCCTGGTTGAAGCTGGGGCCACACCGGGGAAGGGCGTCTGCTGAACTGTCTCCATTCTGAGCTGTCAGTTCCTGTGCTGGTTGCAGTTCCCAGCATGGAGGGTCAGACAGGGGAGGCAGGTGTCTAAGATGAGGGAGCTGGACCCCGGGGGCTCCTGGGCTGGTCATCTCCCACACCGTCACCCTCCTCCCAGCCCTTCCACTCCACCTTCTCCAGGAGAGTCTGCTGGCAGTCTCGGTTGCCCTGGGAGGGACAGTCCTGGAGCCCCTCTGGCCTCTGGTCAGGGGCATGAGGGCAGGTAGGGGAGGAGGAGGCCAGCCAAAGGGCCTCAGTGGGTGGGCAGTGTCCGCTTTCCCTTCCACCTGGTCAGCACAAGCCCTTGAGAGGCAGCATGGCAGTGGTTACGGCCTCTGAACCAGCGGGTGAGGTCAGGTCTCCGCTCTGCCACTAGCTGGTGGTCTAATAAAACCCTTCTCAGAGGGCAGCTCTGAGTTCAATGAGGTGATATCTGAACATTGCCTGGTGTACAGTAAGGGCTCAGCTATTACAGTTTTGGGGTGTGGCTCAGTAGAGGGGGAAGTGCCCTTTCTCCAGTCTTTCCACCAGTCCTTCCTCCGTCATGGATGGCCCAGGATGCCAGGCCCAGGGGCCGAGGCCGGCTCTCCGGATCGTGCACCGGTGGAGTGGGAGAGCAGGCTGTCTGGAACTCAGGGGAGATGCCATATGGGTGGGTGTTCTGGATGTTTTCAGGCCCCCATGCAGGGCTCTGGTGACATTTCCCACTCGCCTTCCAGGATCTCCTACTGCACGGCGGACAAGATGCACGGCAAAGTGTTTGCCTACATCGCCCAGAGCCAGCACAACGAGAATCTCGAGTGCCACGCCTTCCTCTGCACCAAGCGGAAAATGGTCAGTGCGGAGAGCCGGGGCTTGGGCAGCTCTGCTCGCCTTGGCCGCCTGTCCTTGGCAGCCTGTCTGGTGGGAAGGCAAAGCCAAGGTGACACATCACTTAAAATAGGAAATCCTGGGAACCCCAAGTGGGCGGTGAGCGCTGAGGGCGCCGAGACACCTGTCAGAGTGGGCTGTGAGCATGACAAGCCCGTGTCCCCAGTGAGCGCCCTGGCCCTGCCTGTCTGTAATGTGATTTGGATTTGAGGTTTTTGGGGTCTCCTGTAATAGTCTGGTCTGGAGGTGCAGGGCTTTGTAGGGATTCGTCCTTGGAGATTGGTGATCAGAGGGGCCCAGAGTGAAAGGGAAAAGTGAGAGCCTAGGAGGACCGGCTTCCTGTGGCCAGAGCGGGGAGGGCATGGCCATTTTTTGGTATGTACCATGTGCTTGTTCCAGTGGCAGGCTTTAAAGGGTCTTCTCGTTTAATACAACAGTGCTGTGAGGTGGGAGCAGTTACTGTCTTCATTGTTTTTATTTTTATTTTTAATGAGAAATCAGACTCATCGGTCAGCTGGCTTGACACAACTAGCCAGGCAGGGTGAGGGTTTAAACCAGGGGTGGGCAAACTTTTTGACTCGAGGGCCACAATGGGTTCTTAAACTGGACCGGAGGGCCGGAACAAAAGCATGGATGGAGTATTTGTGTGAACTAATATAAATTCAAAGTAAACATCATTACATAAAAGGGTATGGTCTTTTTTTTTTTTAGTTTTATTCATTTCAAACGGGCCGTAGTTTGCCCACGGCTGGTTTAAACCCATGGTTTCCCCCCTCCCTGCATGACTGTAAGGAGCAGGGACTCCAGGCCCCATTTCTGGCCACACCTGGCTGGGATCAGTGGGAATCTCCGAGGTCTCTGGGCATTTGTCTTGAGCTTTGGGGCAGGCAACCGGGAGTGAGTCAGCCTTCGGTGTTGGAAGCCCCTTCATTTCCAAGGCCCCCGAAGCCTGACCGTTTGCCCTGGAAAGAGGTTCCACACATTTATTGGTTTAGTATTGGCCTCTGTTAAGCTGCATATGGAGCCAGAGCCCCGGGGCCCAGGCCTTATGTTCCTGGGAGTCAAGAAGACTGGCGGAGGGGGAGAGCAGGGTCTCTGAAACTCAGGGGAGATGCCCTATGGGGTATCCCCTCCCCATCCTCAAGGACACATCAAGGACATCACGGTCTTGACATGGACCCCCAGACTTCCTGCTATACCCATGAGCCATGCTTTAGATATACATTTCCTATTGTTGCTGTAAGAAATTACCACAAACTTAGTGTTTAAAGCAGCACAAATTTATTCTTGTCTGGTTCTGGAGGTCAGAAGTCTGAAATGGGTCGACAGGGCTGTTTTCCTTCCGAAGGTCCCAGGGGAGATACATTTTCTTGCCGTTTATAGTGTCAGAGACCTCCTGCCTTCCTTGGTTCATGACCCCCTTCTCCAGCCTTGGGGTCAGCGGTGTGGCACCTGCCAGTCTCCCTCTCTGCTGCCCTCATCACATGACTATTTCTGACCTGACCCTCCTGCCTCCCTCTCATATGGCCGCTTGTGATCGGGCCCACTGGGTACCCAGGATAATCCCTCATCTCAGAAATCCTCAATTTAATCACATCTGCAAAGTCCCTTTTGCCATGTGAGGTAAGGTTCCCAGGTTCCAGGGATTAGGATGTGGACCTCTTGGGGGGTCACAGTCCCGCCTCCCACAGGTCTCTCGGAAGGAGCACTACAGGAGACAGACGAGGGTCTGATCCTGGCCCATGTCCTTCCTGTGTGACCGTGGATAAGACCCTGCCCTTCTCTGGGCTGCCTGCCCATCAGCAGAGTCGGGATTGTTCTGAGAGGCCCCGTTTCTTTGGTGCACCTTTATTCTTTGCTGCCGGCTCGGTGTCGCTGGCCACTCACCCAGGGCCTCGTGATGCCCCTGCGGTGGCTTCTCCCATGACAGTGGACTCCTGGCTTTGTCTGTTATGAGGCCACAAAGACTTAAAATACAGGCTCATTATGTCTGCATTGTTTGTCTCTTCCTCCCCAATGACCAGAGCAGGCGCTGGGCGGGCAGTTGGCCATGGCCATGGCTGCGGGGGGCGGGGGGGGGGGGTTCCCAAGATGCAGAGGCTTCC